TTATTGTGAGTTTTGTTTCGATGATATCAATAGATGATAATTATTATTGTTATTACTATCATTATTATGGCCATTATTTTGTTTCTTATTCTTATTGTTGCTATATTTTCATTCTTATTATTGCTATTATTTTCCTTATTATTATTATTGCTATTCTTATTCTTATTATTGCTATTATTTTTCTTATTCTTATTATTGCTATTATTTTATCTCATTCTTATTATTGCTATTATTTTTCTTATTCTTATTATTGCTATTATTTATCTCATTCTTATTATTGCTATTATTTTTCTTATTCTTATTATTGCTATTATTTCATGTCATTCTTATTATTGCTATTATTATCATTGCTATCATTCTTATTATTGCTATTATTATCATTGCTATCATTATTAGTATTGCCATTATTATATCACCACCATTATTGTTTTTATTATCATTCGGTCGGTTTGTTAAAATTGTGCCAGGCCCGACCCAACAAATATTCCTATAAACAGACATCCATATACACAGAAATAAATGCATATCTATCGATCTATCAAATAGATATACATTTTTTTTCTAATTGTAGGGTAGATATGCACGTCTAGACTGATATATATGTATTTATTCCTGTGTATGTGCATGTCCGTGTAACGAATGTCAATTAGGTCGGGTTTGGCACAGTTCTAACAAACCAATTATCATCATAATAACTATGCTGTTGTCAGTGACACCCACGCTTTCCACTGACACAATTCTTTACGTTCTCCACACAATTCTAACAAACCGATCACTATGTTGTTGTTAGTGACACCCACGCTATCCACTGACACATTCCCTTACGTTCCCCACCACTGTCAGTGACCACAGCAGCACCACCGGGTCGTTCAGTTCGGGTCGACGACTTCGGGGCGGCCTCGATCCTCCGTCCTAGGTTAGGCTCCCGACACCGCCTCCTTCGGGTCCCACTCACGGCGTCCCAGCGGAGGGGGCGTGGCGTGGTGCGGAGGGGGCGTGGCGAGGTGCGCTTGCCCCGCCCACGCCGGATTATGTATCTTTTGTTTTGTTTAATTAAAGAAGTTGCAATTTTGTTTGCGATTTTTGTTGTTATCTATTTTTGTTTTTTTGTGGTGTTCTCTGTATTCTCTGTCTCTGTCTGTCTGTCTCTGTCTGTCTGTCAATCTCTGTGTCTGTTTTCTCACTATCTCTAAAATATATGTAAAAAGGATAAAGAAAAATGTTTATGAACACAAATACAAAGACAGTAACGTGTGCGCAAAGATAAAAAGGAAACAGACAATAAAGAATAAAAATGAACGTTACGTTTCGAACTCGTCAGGAGATCCTCATCAGACGTATATCTGATGAGGAACTCTTAGCGAGACCGAATATATATACATATATATATAATATATATATATATATATATATATATATATAATATGTGTGTGTGTGTGTGTGTGTGTGTGTGTGTGTGTGTGTGTGTGTGTGTGTGTGTGTGTGTGTATAATAAGAAAGATGGAAAACTCTGATAAATTGAAAGTATAACTCAAAAAAGAGGTAAAATCTAAGGCCTTTTTTTAAACAAAGAAAATACAAACATACGATTATTTTTTGAGTCAAACAAATCAATTATGGCTCCAACATTTTTTTTTTTTTTTTTATGGAAACTCCCTAACAGATGAAAAACAAAATACAAGATCTGTATTTAAAAAAAACAAAGAAAAAAATATTTGCCCGTAAGTCAAACGTCTCAAAAAAGAAGAAAAAAAAACGGAAAAGAAAACACACAGAAAAAAACCAGTAAATCTTTATTTCCTAAAAACAAACAAAACAAAATTACCCAAAATGCTTTGCGCTTCGACCCGATTCAAAAAACATTCTCGTTCATTTTTATCAACCATTCTCGTTCATATTTTTTTTTAGTCAATCTCCTTCAGTTTTTGTTTGTTTTTAGTCATTCTCGCTCAGTTTTCTTAGGTCATTCTCCTTTATTTTGTTTGTTTGTTTGTTTTCATTCATCCCTATTCAGTTTTCTTAGGCCATTCTCGTTCATCTTGTTTGTTTGTTTGTTTTCCTTCATCCCTCTTCAGCTTTCTTAGGCCATTCTCGTTCATTTTGTTTGTTTGTTTGTTTTCCTTCATCTTTATTCAGTTTTCTTAGGTCATTCTCCTTTATTTTTTTACCTGCTGGTGGCCCAAACTCTGACAGTAAGACCTAACTTGAGGTAAGTGGTCCAGTTTACTACACAGCGCCGAGGGGAACTTCGCCATGTCACCGTAACTTCTCACGACCACTTCCTGCATGGGAGAAAGGGAGAGGTTGAGGTGTTCAGGTGGAGAACAGTTCACTTCAGCTGATTTTTTAAAGTGGTGATGGGGTTTTAGGTGAATTTTTAAAGTGGTGATGGGGGTTTTAGGTGAATTTTTTAAGTGGTGATGGGGTTTTAGGTGAATTTTTTAAGTGGTGATGGGGTTTTAGGTGAATTTTTAAGTGGTGATGGGGGTTTTAGGTGAATTTTAAGTGGTGGTGGGGATTTAAGTGATTTTTTTACGTGGTGATGGGGTTTTAGGTGATTTTTAAGCGGTGTAGAATTTAAGTGGATTTCAGGTGTTTCAAAGTTTCAAGTGGAATTCAAGTGGTACCGAGATTTAGGTGAATTTTAAGCGGTGTGGAATTTAGGTGGATATCAAGTGTTTCAAAGTTTCAAGTGGTACAGAGTTTTAGGTGAAATTCAAGTGGTACAAAGTTTGAGGTGAACTTTAAGTGGTAATGGTGTTTTAGATGATTTTTAAGCGTTGTGGAATTTAAGTGGATTTCAAGTGTTTCAAAGTCTCAACTAAGATTCAAGTGGTAAAGAGTTTGAAGCGAATCTAAGCTGAATTTCCAAGTGAATTTGAATTTGTACAAAGTTTCAAGTGCTAAATAATTTTCAAGTGAATGTCAAGTTTTACAGTTCCAAGTGCTAAAGACCATTAAGTGAATTTCTGGTGAATTTTGAAAGTGTGAAAGAGTTATGGAGTTTCTAGGTTCAAGTATCAACGAGTTCCAAGGAATTTGAGATTCAAGTGTTAAAGATGTTCAAGGTCAAGGGAAATCTTACTTCGATCTCTGTACAAACTCTTTTCTTCCTCTTTTTTCCCTTCCTTTCTCTCTCTCTTTCTCTTTCTCTTTCTCTCTCTCTCTGTCTCTCTCTCTCTCTTCTCTCTCTCTTTCCTTTCTTCCCTTCCCCTTTTTCCCTCCCTTCCTCCTTCACCCTCCCTCTTTCCCTCTCTCTCCTTTCTCTCCTCGCTCTCCCCATCCCACTTACCCCATCGATGAGCACAGTTGGTACATAGGAGAGGAAGGGCACCAGCTGGTACTGTCTCCTGCCAGCTGCCGCAAACAGCTGGTATCCCTCAGGTCCTACGGCGCACCTGTAGAAGGCTTTGGTATTCCTTCTTGATCCTTCGGCGCACTGGGGAAGGAAGGGGGGGGGGGGTGTAGGATTCTTAAAAATGTGGTGATGGTGGTGTGAAGGGGAAGGGGAGGGGGAGGGGGATGGGGTGGAAGTGCTAAGGAAGGAAGGGGGGGGGGGGTTGTAGGATTCTTAAAAATGTGGTGATGGTGATGGTGAGGGGGGAGTGGGGAGGGGGGATGGGGTGGAAGTGTTAAGGAAGGAAGGGGGTGGTTGTAGGATTCTTAAAAAATGTGATGATGGTGGTGTGAAGGGGAAGGGGAGGGGGGATGGGGTGGAGGTGCTAAGGAATAGTAAGGGGGGGGGGTTGTAGGATTCTTAAAAAATGTGGTGATGGTGGTGTGAAGGGGAAGGGGGGAGGGGGAAGGGGGATGGGGTGGAAGTGCTAAGGAAGGAAAGGGGGGGGTTGTAGGATTCTTAAAAATGTGGTGATGGTGGTGTGAAAGGGAAGGGGGGAGGGGATGGGGTGGAAGTGCTAAGGAATAGTAGGGGGGGGATTGTAGGATTCTTAAAAATGTGGTGATGGTGAGGGGGGAGAAGGGAGGGGGGATGGGGTGGAAGTGCTAAGGAAGAGTGGGGGGAGGGATTGTAGGATTCTTAAAAATGTGGTGATGGTGGGAGGGGGGTGGAAGTGTTTGGGGGGATGGTTATGGTGGTGGTAGGGAAGATGGGGATGGGGGGGGGTGCAGGTGGTAATAGGGAGATGGGGATGGGAATGATTGTGGGGGTGGATGGTGGAGGAAGTGGTGGGGTGGTGAGAGGGGGGGTGGTGGTGGTGCTGATGGTAATTGTGATCGTAGTGGTGGTGATAGTAAGGTGACAGTTATGTTAATGATATTAATAATATTCTTATCATACTATAACTGACTAAAGAACCGAATTCATGTTGACAAATGTAGAAAATGTATGAATGAGAATGAATATCTTCACAATACAAGAGATGTATTTAACCGGTATCGATTATATCTTCGTCAGAAATATATTTATTTCTGACGAAGATATATTCGAAACCGCTTAAATACATCTCTTGTATTGTGAAGATACCCAGTCTCATTCATACCTTTCCTATAATTGATTAATTTTGCAATATATCAAAATTCCGACAACAACAACAACAGCAACAATATCAACATTAATACTAACAATACAATAACAACAACAAAAATAGATCGTACAAAAATCTTACGAAAATGTGGAAAGTTAACTAAACTTAAAATGATTTACGCATTATATATCATAATCACTGATGACTTAATTCGTCTTAGACATAAATATAAGTTAACTGATTCGTCGAAAGCTTAAAAAATATATCAAAAGAAGTATTAAGCAAATTATGGGAAAACAAAATAAATGAAAAAATGAGCAAATAATAAAAGTAATTCAAACCAAACAAACCAATAATCAATCATAAGAAAGATCTATCAAATAATGAAATAATAAATCTGCGATTGACCAAAAATAGAAAAAAAATAATAATCAAAAGATGGAAAAATACCCTGATACAACTATAAAAAACAAACAAACAAAGAATCACAAACCAAGCAAACATTCCACAACATTTCAACATCACCAACAACCGAACAAACCGACTACTCACCGACAAAGCGGCCGACAAGATGGCCGAGTGGTCAGCGGAGCGCAACTGGTGCTGGTACTTCGTCAGGCAGACAGCGAACGCCACGCCCCTGTCAGCGGCGGCCAGGTGGCGCTCCGAGCACGAGATGAGCCGGTTCCCCAAGCAGTCGCCGGGCCCGTGCTGGCACCCGCCGTTCTGGGGCAGTAAGCGTGGTTAGGATGTACATACATACATATACATATATATACAGATTTACAAGTTTACATACATTTACATATACATATATATATACATAAATATATATATATACACATATATATACATATATACATACATACATAGACACACACACACACACACACACACACACACACACACACACATATATATTATATATATATATATATATATATATATTATATATATACATATATACATATATATATATATATATATATATATATATTATATACATACATACATATATATAATATATATATATATATATATATATATATATATATATATATATATATATATATATATATATATATGTGTAAAACATACAATAAATATCTAAATAAATATATATATACACACGCACATATACATCTATATATGTGTTTATGTATATATACATATATATGATATGTATGTACATATACATATATTTAAACAACACACTAACTCTCTCTCTCTCTCTTCTCTCTCTCTCTCTCTCTCTATATATATATATATATATATATATATATATATATATATATATATATATATTCGGACACACCCACAACCGCACATCCACAACGTCAGCCGCCCACCTCCACCCGTCCGAAAGGCACGACCTCCACCCTGACGTAGTTCCGCAGCGACAGCTCAAGAGGAGCGAGGTAAGAGGTCAGGAACTGCTGGCTCTCGGCTGACGCTGAGGTCATGATGACGGTCATATTCACCTGGTTGAGCGAGGTCAAGTTTGGGTGAATTCAGTGGCTCTTTTAAGGTGTGTATTGAAGCTCATGAAAGGTTAACTACAGGAGGGGAGGGAAGGAATTTCAGAACGTGGGGTGTTCTTTAAAATCTAAGTTCATTTCTTTCACGAGTTTTGGTATCGTAGACTCAGTTTATGTAACATCTCGGTCCCCATTTATGACCAAGACGATAAAAAATCAGTTACAAAAATAAGGAAGACTAGACTTAAAACATCAATATACATACCACAACAACACAACACGATACCACAACAACACCAAACGCTATAATGCCACAAAAGACAAAAAAATAAATTTACGACCTTCGAAGGACGGTAAGCCAGAGCGTTTGAATTCCTCGCCTTCTTCTTGCAGATCTTGCCGTGATGGCCACAGCCGTCGGCACAACACACGGAGTCGCTCGGGCAGTGAGCGTCCAACCTGCACTGGCGCTGGAGAGGGAGAGAAAAGGGAGCTGTCTGAGGGGGAGATATATGAGGAATACTGGGGAGAGAAAGGAGGATGGGAGAGAGAGGGAGGGAGGGAGAGGATGGGAGAGAGAGAAGGAGGGAGAGAGAGAGAAGAAGAGGGAGGGAGAGAGAGAGAAGAGGGAGGGAGAGGAAGATGAAGAGAGAGGGAGAGATATAGAAATAAAGAGACAGAGAGAGAGAGTAAGGGGAAGAGACGGAAAGATGGAGAAGCCACAGGGAGCGAGTAAAAAAAACACCAAAACTTACCCTCAAACAAAAAACAATATGAATAAAACAAAAATACCATGCAACTATTAAACACAAAATAAAAACAACCTTGGCAACCCCTTCCTACCTACCTGCGCTCGTCTCCTAACACGTGACATGATTGGCAGTCCCGTGAGAGGACAGATGAGAGGCGGCGGAGGACAGAAGTCACAGCAACTAAAATAATCAATAATGTTGATAAAAACAATAACATATTTGGTTACAATAATACGAAGAGTAACTAAACTAAAATTATTCCTATATGATCGCTCACACGTACAATATCATGCTTGGGGATAATATACTATTTGACTGCGGACTTGAAGTCAAGTATTTATTATTTAGCAGTATTATTATTATAATTTCTATTATAATTTTCATTTTTATCACTAATATCATTATCATTATCATCGTCATTATCAATACCATTATTATCATTATCATCGTCATTATCAATACCATTATTATCATTATCATCATCATTATTATTATTACTATCATAGTATTATTACTACCATTATCATCATTTTTATTATTACAAACATTATTATTAGTAGTAGTAGTAGTATCATTACCATTATTATCATTATCATCATTATAATCATAATAATTTTCTTCGAGACAAATACACTGCATTGAAATAGACGGAAGGAAAGAAAGAAAAGAAGGGAAAAAGGGATGAAAGGAAAGGGGGAAGAATAAAGAAGAGAGAGAGGAGCTCAGAGAGAAAGAGGGAGATGGGAGAGGGAGGGAAAGAGGGACGGAGAGAGGAAGAGAGGAAGGGAGAGGCGGAGGAAAGGATAGAGGGAGATAATTAGAGAGAAAAAGGAACAAGAAAGAGAGAGAGAGAGAGAGAGAGAGAGAGAGAGAGAGAGAGAGAGAGAGAGAGAGAGAGAGACGAAGGAGGTGAGGAGTTTAAGGAGGAAGAGAAAGGTGGAATGGGGGAAGGACTGAATTCAGGGAAGAGAAGAATAGAGAAAGAGGGAATGGAAGAGGGAGAGAGGAAGCGACAGGGAGAAGGAAAGAGATGTGAAAGAGGGAAGGAGCAGATTTTTTAATATCATTATTATCATCCATGTTCTGTTCAAACTAAACAACACTTATTTCAAAACATTATATTCTATGCTTCATCTCACCACACCCTAAGACCCTTTTAATGAAAAATAAAGAAAAAAACTAAACAGCTATATACAGACATGGTGTAAAAAAAAAAAAAAAAAAAAAAAAATAGTGTTTATTATACCAGCTGTTCCGTGACCTCTCCCAGACTTGAGGTTAAACAGGAAGTTTAGAAGCAGAACAGAATATATTATATCTATACCTATAATAAATATGTATATTATTTCGTAGAGGAAATAGATTATAACGGCCGGTTTCTTAGAATTGTTTGAGGCCCGACCCAAAGAATATTGGTATACTTGACATTTCATAAATAAAGAAATAGATGCATGTTTATCAGTCTAGACATGCATATCAACCCGGCAAATAGATGGTTAAATGTATATCTATCAGATGTATAGATAGATATGCCTTTATTTCTGCGTCTGTATTTATGAAAATTCATTGGGTCGAGCCTGGCACAATTTTAACAAACCGGCTGTAAGACAATAAACACACACACACACAAGCACACAAGCACACACACACACACATACACACACACACACACACACACACACACGCACAAACACACAAACACACATACACAAACACGCACAAACACACACACGCACACACAATTAGACAAATATACAAATATTCTGGTTGTAAATTCCTGAAATAGAATCTCATTTACCTAACGAACACAAAGAAAGATTTATAGGCCTATGATCCTTACCCAGAAGGTATGTTGGGAATGCACACATCAGTACATCCAAGAGGGAGGAAGTGGAGGGGTAAGTTGGAGGAGGAGAAGTTGGAGGAGGAGGTGGGGGTAAGTTGGAGGAGGAGGTGGGGGTAAGTTGGAGGAGGAGGTGGGGGGTAAGTAGGTGGAGGAGGAGGTGGCTGAGTGGTGGGGGTGGGGGATGTAGGTAGGTGGAGAGGAGTGGCTGAGTGGGTGGGGGTGGGGGGATGTAGGTAGGTGGAGGAGGAGGTGGCTGAGTGGGTGGGGTGGGGGGATGTAGGTAGGTGGGGAGGAGGTGGCTGGGTGGGTGGGGGTGGGGGATGTAGGTGGGGTGGGGGGATGTAGGTAGGTGGGGGTGGGGGGGTAGGTGGGGGTGGGGGATGTAGGTAGGTGGGGGTGGAGGTGGCTGAGTGGGGAAAATGCAAATAGGAGGGGTAGTTGGTGGATATACTGGTGGAAGAGTAGGAGGTGGGCATATAAGTGGAGGACTTGGAGTGGTGGGGGGAGGTGGAGGTATGTAAGTAGGTGGAGGGGGTGGAGGGCGAGTTGGTGGAGGGGGAGGAATGTAAGTAGGTGGAGGAGGGGGGTGACGAGTGGGGGGAGGGGGCGGTATGTAAGTAGGAGGAGGGGGTGGAGGGCGAGTTGGTGGAGGGGCGATGTAAGTAGGTGGGGGCGAGTTGGTGGAGGGGGAGGAATGTAAGTAGGTGGAGGAGGGGGTGGACGAGTGGGGGGAGGGGGGCGGTATGTAAGTAGGTGGAGGAGGGGGTGGAAGAGTGGGGGGAGGTGGATAGGTGGGGAAAACGCAAATAGGAGGTTCAATTGGTGGGTACACTGGTGGAAGAGTGGGGGGTGGGCATACAAGGGGTGGAGGTGGGGGTGGGTATGTGGGTGGAGGTGGGGGTGGGGTGGGTGGAGGTGGGGTGGCTGCGTTTGGTGGGGGAGGGGGTGGCAGAGTTGGTGGGGAGGGGTGGCAGAGTTGGTGGGGGAGGGGGTGGCAGAGTTGGTGGGGGAGGGGTGGCAGAGTTGGGGGGAGGGGTGGCAGGTGGTGGAGGTGTGGCTGAGTGGGTGGGGGTGGAGGAAGAATGCATATAGGTGGAGAAATAGGTGGATAAATTGGTGGCATGGTGGGAGGTGGACATATTAGGGGGTGGAGGTGGGTGGAGGGGGTGGAGGTGGGTAAGTGGGAGGGGTGGAGGTGGGTAAGTAGGAGGGGGTGGAGGTGGGTAAGTAGGAGGAGGAGGAGGTGGGTAGTGGAGGAGGAGGAGGTGGATAAGTAGGAGGAGGGAGGAGGCGGATAAGTAGGAGGAGGGGGTGGAGCCGGGGTTTGCAGCTTCAAGCAACAAGGATGGTTCTCGTACAATGGCGTCCCGCACAGGTTTTGTCGGCGGCAGCGGATGTGGCTTCCATCGGCGGCTGCGGTTCCGAGGAGGACGCAAGCGGCAGCCAAAGCCAACAGCAGCTTCGGCGACTTCTGCGGGAGACCAGAATTTCTTCAAGGTCCAAGACGCTGGAGTAATAACTTATGAATGAACCGTATTCATGTTGCGATTATGGATGAACCGTATTCATGTTGACGACTTGTGAATGAACCGTATTCATGTTGACGACTTATGGATGAACCGTATTCATGTTGGCGAAATGAACGTGTTTCATGTTGACTTATGGATGAACCGTATTCATGTTGACGACTTATGGATGAACCGTATTCATGTTGGCGACTTGTGAATGAACCGTATTCATGTTGACGACTTATGGATGAACCGTATTCATGCGATATGAATGAACCGTATTCATGTTGACGATACCATGTTTGACTTATGGATTGAACCGTATTCATGTGACTTATGGATGGTATTCATGTTGGCGACTTATGGATGAACCGTATTCATGTTGGCGACTTATGGATGAACCGTATTCATGTTGACGACTTATGAATGAACCGTATTCATGTTGACGACTTATGGATGAACCGTATTCATGTTGGCGACTTATGGATGAACCGTATTCATGTTGACGACTTATGGATGAACCGTATTCATGTTGACGACTTATGGATGAAACCGTATTCATGTTGACGACTTATGGATGAACCGTATTCATGTTGACGACTTCATGTGACGGGACCGTATGTCGACTTATGGATGAACCGTATTCATGTTGACGACTTATGGATGAACCGTATTCATGTTGGCGACTTAATGGATGCGACTTATGGACTGTTGACTATTATTCATGTTGACGACGACTTGAATGATGAACCGTATTCATGTTGGCGACTTATGAATGAACCGTATTCATGTTGGCGACTTATGGATGAACCGTATTCATTGTGGCGACTGTGAATGAACCGTATTCATGTTGACGACTTATGGATGAACCGTATTCATGTTGACAAAGTATGAGTGAACCGCATTCATGTTGGCGACTTATGGATGAACCGGATAATGATAGAAGACTTATGGATGAAACCGTATTCATGTTGGTGACTTATGGATGACCGTATTCATGTTGGCGACTTATGGAATGAAACCGTATTCATGTTGGTAGAACTTTATGGATGACGGTATTCATGTTGCGACTTGTGAATGAAAAGATATTCATGTTGAGACTTATGGATGAACCGTATTCATGTTGACGAAATATATAAATATATATAGAACGACTTGTGAATGATCGTGTTCATGTTTGAACTTATGGAGAACGTAATTCATGTTGGGCGACTTATGGATGGAAAAGATAAGTGGCGACTTAGGATGAACCGTGTTATATATAGATATATGGATGAAGTTGTTCATGTTGGCGACTTATGAATGAACGTTTCATGTTGGCGACTTATGATGAACCGTATTCATGTTGGCGACTTATGATGAACCGTATTTATGATGAACGTATTCATGTTGGTTTTGGACGTACTGGTATGGATGAACCGTATTCATGTTGTGACTTTGTGAATGGAAACGTTTCATGTTGTACTTATGGATGAAAACTTATGGATGAACCGTAATTCATGTTGACGACTTATGGATGAACCGTATTCATGTGTGAACAAAGTATGAGTGAACCGCCTAAAATGTTGGGAGACTTATGGATGAGAATACACTGTTGATTATGACGTATTCATGAGACTTATGGATGAACGTATTCATGTTGGCGACTTATGGATGAAACCGTACATTCTGTTAATGAATGAACCGTACTTCATGTTGAGACTTATGGATGAACGTATTCATGTTGACGACTTATGGATGAACCGGTATCAATGTTGACGACTTATGGATGAACCGTATTCATGTTGGCGACTATGGATGAACCGTGTTTCATGTTGGCGACTTATGGATGAACCGTATTCATGTTGGCGACTTATGGATGAACCGTATTCATGTTGACGACTTGTGAATGAATCGTGTTCATGTTGACTTATGGATGAACCGTATTCATGTTGGCGACTTATGGATGAACCGTATTCATGTTGACGACTTATGGATGAACCGTATTCATGTTGGCGCTTCCGTATCATGTTGGCGCTTCCTGGATGACGTATTCATGTTGACGACTTGTGAATGAATCGTGTTCATGTATGGATAAAGATTAGTTGGCGACCTTTTTGGAACGACTGATGACCGTATGAACCGTGTTCGACTTATGGATTTCATGTTGGCGACTTATGGATGAAATGTGACCGAATGGATGAACCGTAATTCATTTAGTTTGGCTTATGATGACCGTATTCATGTTGGATGATGAACCGTTTCATGTTGGCGACTTATGAATGAACCGTATTCATGTTGACGACTTATGGATGAACCGGTTTCATGTGGCGACTGAATGAACCGTATTCATGTTGACGACTTATGAGAGAACGATTTCATGTTGCCGACTTATGAATTGAACCGTATTCATGTTGACGACTTATGGTATGGAACCGTATTCATGTTTGACACTTATGATGAACGTATGTACATGTTGGCGAACTTATGGATGAACCGTATTCATGTTGGCGAATTATGATGAACCGTGTTCATGTTGGCGACCCTTATGGATGACCGTGTTCATGTTGGCGACTTAGAATGAATCGTATTCATGTTGCGACTTATGAATGAACCGTATTCATGTTGGCCATATGAATGAACGCGTATTCATGTTTGGCCGACTTATGGATGAACCGTATTCATGTTGGGATGAACTTATTATGTGGGATTATGATGAACCGTATCATGTTGGTTATGGTTGACTTATGGATGAAACGTATTCATGTTGGTGACGATGACGTATCATGTTTGACGACTTATGGATGAACCGTATTCATGTGACGAAGTATCATGTTGGCACTATGGATGAACCGTATTCATGTTGGTGACTTATGATGAACCGTATTCATGTTGGTGACTTATGGATGAACCGTATTCATGTTGGCGACTTTTATGATAACCGTACTTCATGTTGACGACTTATGGATGAACGCGTGTTCACTGTTGGCGATTATGTTATCATGTTGGCGACTTCCGTATTCATGTTGACGACTGTGAATGAATCGTGTTCATGTTGACTTATGGATGAACCGTATTCATGTTGGCGACTTATGGATGAACCGTATTCATGTTGACGACTTATGCGTGTCATGGATGACTTATGGATGAACGATTCATTGTTGACTTATGGATGAACCGTTCATGTGGCGACTTATGATGAACCGTATTCATGTTGATTATGGATGAACCGACTTATGAAACCGTATCATGTTGACGACTTTGGATGAACCGTATTCATGTTGGCGACTTATGAATGAACCGTATTCATGTTGACGACTTATGGTGAACCGTAGACTTATGAATGAACCGTATTCATGTTGACGACTATGGATGAACCGTATTCATGTGGCGAATGGAACCGTATCATGAGACTTATGGATGAACCGTTTCATGTTGGCGACTTCCGTATTCATGTTGACGACTTATGGATGAACCGTTTCATGTTGGCGACTTATGATGAACCGTATTCATGTTGGCGACTTATGGATGAACCGTGTTCATGT